TCGTACAGCCAAGCTGTTCACAGGGTGGATCGGGTAGCAAACTGTGCATTAGCTCGTCGATTTCTCTGCGCTGACTTTCGGTAATTTCCTTTATACCGAGTGGGCCAGTGAGATGAGTTCCTCATTGAAGAAAGCGCGGCCGGGATTGGCTCGTCACAGCCCTTGACCTTCAGCGTGTTCGCCTCCGGGTCGAGCATCGCTGAAAAAGCGCGGGTGAAGTCGGCACCTAAAGTGCACTCTGTGTCGACTTCGGACAGGATCAGAACATCGAGCCAATGCGTTAGCCCCCCTAAAGTGAAAGGTAGGCTTACGTTGCCCAAAACTGGCACGTAGTGTCCATCGACGGCTTTTGCCCCGGGGCCTACGTACGGATGTACTCGGCGGTTAAGCGCCGAGGCGATTTGTAACGCGTTTGGGCCGAGGACAGTGCGGGAAGCTCCGGTGTCGTACAGCCCCCTAAATGGATAGCCGCCGACGTCTACCGTCAGCCACCACCGGGGTGACTTCTCCACGACGGCGCTGACTACAGTACCTTCATCGCATGGCGACTGCGCGTCGGTCGGATTACTCAAGGCTAGCCTGGAGTCGTCCGCCGGGCTGCGAAGCGCCTGCGCTACTCCTGTAACGCCGTCCGTAGCGAAGGTCCGGTCTTCCCGAGGAGCGGTAGGGACCCCTACTACGCGCTCCCCCTCTCGTTCTTTGGCTCTGCTAGTTTGACTGAGCACTCCGGGCAGGAAAACCGGGTATGGCCGGGCCAGCTGCAGTTCCAGCAGAGAACTTTGTCGCCACTGGGGCCAATTTCTTTGTCCTTATTCTTGTCGGACTTTGGGGTGACGATCTGGGCTTGATTGCCTCCGGGACGGCCATCGCTTCTGCCTCCACGGTTTCCACCTTTCCCGCCTCGGCCACCGCCTGGCGGTCCTCCGGGCGCTGCGCCGGCCTCGGCCTTTGCCGCCGCCTGAGCACCCTGCTGGGGCTTTGCTGCAGCACCTTGGCTTCGGGTCGACGACGTCTGGGCTGTTGCCCTGCTGGTCGGCTTGAGTTTTTGCTCCAAGAACTCCCTGAGGCACGCTTCCCAATTCAGCTCCGCAGCATGTTCGCTGACCGAGGCAATGCCGGTTGGCTTTATCCTGGCCGCCCTCGACCTGGGCTTATAAGCCGCTTCTGGCAGCATGCTTTGTTCTGCCGGGGGAGGGGGCCTCCATTGGTCTACCTCATCGTCCTCTGCTTCTTGAGCTCTTTCCAGCAGCTCTTGAAAGTCGGTCAGGCAATCTTTGCACCGCTTTAGTCGTCGTAGCAGCCGTGGAAGCATGTTATCTATCACCAGGTTCACTTGATCCTGCGCCTCCCAAGGCTCCTCGAACCGGCCGAGAATGGTGAGCAGAGAGACGACGTAGTCTCTCACTGGCTCATTTTCCCCCTGAGTGCGCAGTTGAGCTTCCACGATCAGGCTCCTTCTGGTCCTTTTCGTCTTGCTGTACGTCTTGAGTGCCGCGTTCTTGAACTCTTGGTACGTCTTCCATGCGGGCCTCAAAGCCCGAAACCAGAACAGCGCAGGCTTCTCGAACAGCAGCGTCATCGAGTCCAGCAGTTCGTCTTCCGCAACTCGGTCTAGCCGGCGATTCTCCTCTACCTGCTCCAGGAACTCCTCAATACTAACTCCTTTTTCGCCCGAGAATTTTATCTTCCACTCCTGGACCGTCTTTCCGAGGTGCTTGCTCATAAAGCGCGACATCTCCATCGTGTTAAGAGTGTGAGGCGAGGGTCCCCCCGTGCTGTGGCTTGCTGCCTGTCTCGACACCGGGAGCGCGAGCGAATCGTCCGCCGTCTTCGGCGCAACCCCCCTCCCCCAGCTCGAGCTTGCGGGGATAAAATGGCCAAACGGCAGTGAGTGCGTACTTGCCGCTATAGTTGCCGTTTGCGGCCTCTCGTACTGATTTTGCGTGGACGGTCTCGTGGTTGAGTGAAATATCGGCGCTCGTGGGTTCATTGTTGAGGGCGATGGTCGTATCGAGCCATCGAATTGGCTTGACAGCTCGTAGTAGTTCAAATCGAACGTGTCTTGGAAATGAACTCCTTTGCTCGATCGTGTCGCGTTCCAACGTGTTTGGTTTTCGGCCGTCTGCTGTTGAGCGTTAGCGACTACGCTTTTCATTTGCGCCTGTAGATCGCTGTTTACTCGCTCTGCATTGTTCTTTTCCGATCGTAATGTGGCGATGGTTTGCAGTAGTTCCTCTATTCGTCTTTCTTGTTTTGTATTACGCAGCATTAATTCTTGCATTTCTGCTTGCTGCGTAGCCCAGAGGTCGTTCAAAATTTTCTTTTAAAGCACGTGTCTGGAACTCTGCTTGCCACGCCCGTTTTAGCTCTGCAGCTGCCGCCATACTCAGCCAGTGTTAGCTTTGATCGGGGAACATTACGCGCATTGTTCGGTTTGTAGCTGGAAAAGCGATCGGTTCGACTGTCGGCGTGACGTAATGTTATGCAGTATACGTCTCGCTGCTATGTTTTAAGCTCATTGCGCTTGCTGTAACCTGAGGCTCCGATTGCATGCTGGAGGTCACGATCGGCTCGCTCTGTGTGACGTTCGGTGAGTTTAAGAGATGGTTAGGTTTCCAGCTTTCGTTGGCTGGCGTCTGCGCGTGAGCTTTGTTTTGAATAATCGGTGCTATTTGCGGATTCTCTTCTAAGGTGAGCGACATGTCGATCGGCCCTGCGGCTCCTTGTGGCGAGCTTGTCGCGAAGCCTGATTGCTCTTTGTCGTCTTCTTTCTCTTCGTTGGCGCCTAGTGTCATTTCTGCCTCTAGCGCCGTACGAATATCGTCGACTATATCGTCCGGTAGGAATTCTGACTGGAAGAAGGTGCGCGCTAAATCGTTTCGCCTTTCTTCCGCTAGTGTTGGATTATCGAAGCGCGTTTGTATGAAGTCGCTTCCGGTGTAGTCGCCGTTTAATCGTCGATACAATCTGTTACCTCTTTCGTATATCGAACCGTCGTTTCGCAGCTCTAAGCGGTTTAACGCGTCTGCCATTACATCGCTTGGCAGCCCTTGAATCCATGATTTTAAACGAGTGTTGATGTTGTCTTTGAAAATTGTTAAGTTTTCGATTGTCCAGCTGTCGGTTGCCATTTCGTCCGCTCGTGGGGTTTGTAAAAAAAAATTCAAATAACCAAGGGGAAGGGAAGTTTTATACAGACCACGAGCAAAGGAGAATGGAAAGAAAAATAAACAAATAAGTGGGTTTAGTGATTAACAGAGCTTTGTGAATTGTCTAACTTTTCACCCGACGCTGGGCAATTACATCGAGCGACTTTAAACACGAATTGTAAGTGTTCTATCTAATGAGCTGCGTAACATACGTTTCGCTGTCGCTTACGTGCTTTTGGGTGTTGAATTTACGGTTCTTAATGTTGCGCGTAGTATTTATATGCGCGCGTTTTATTTAGTTCCCGGTGTCGCTTTTAATCGCAGTATGGCCTTTCGTAAGTTGCGACGTTGTTTACGTCGCTCCGTAGTGTGTACGATGCTTTGTAGCTACTGTTGTGTTTACGTCGCGCGTCGCGCTTGGAATGTAAACACGGCGGCTCGCGTACTAGTCTTTACTTGTTTTTGCCTTCTGATGCGCGCGTTTACGCTTGAATATATATTTTGACTTACATATTTAGCTGCTACATACCCAATATCGGTTGGGCGCCATTATGTAACGGGGATTCTGCTACCCCGTTAAGGGTGATGCTAAGTGGCTACTCGGCCTGCAGGTAACTCGTATGGGGAACACGCGGGCACTCTTGCCTTCGGCCCGCGGAGAGCGTCGTAGGTCAGGTAGCAGCGGACGGTGCAAGCCGGCATGCGCGTAACACGGGAGGGAGGAAGTGCCGAGAGGAAAGACGCAGTGGTTAGCAGAATGAATATTTATTAAGACTAAGATAACAAAGGAAGCGTACAAATAGTATTCGCAGTGAGAGAGGCAAGCGAGAAGCAAGCGAGAGGAGAGTCTTAAGATCGAACGGGCACTTACATGACAAGTTCGCAGTGGCCTCGGCTTTAGACTTGACACGCGCAGGTGTTCGGCCACGAGGCAGCTCTCTCGGGCTGACCGGCTAAGATCGGCAAACACACACCCACGCACGCACGCACGCACGCTGCACTTGCTTCCTCTCGCCAAGGCGGGCAGCCGATTCTGACTCGCACGCGGACGTGGTCCCCCTCTCTCGCGCTAGCTATTCGGCAGCGGTGCGTCTCTGCCAATTAGGCAATGTGCGCGACACTCGGGCGTCCACGCTTACACGCGTACACGCGGGTCTCTCTCTCTCTCTCTCTCTCTCTACTCGGTGCTCCCTGACTTACCTCGTGCCGCGTCCACAGCTACGGCAAGGCAAAAATACATAAAGAAAAGAATACATGGGTTATCAACGGATTATGATTAACTTAAGGGGAGAGAGACATAACGAGCCTCGGCTCGTTATAGACTTTAAGTGAAAATAAATTAATGCGTAGTATTAGGAGTTTTACTGGAGATTTAGAAAGTCAAAGGGAAAATTATATTATAAGAAACCGTTTGGTACAACATAATTTTTATTCAAGATTCATCAATATTAAAATTTGATTATTTAAAAATTGTAATTTCAAAACTTTCTTATTATTATTTATAATTCGAAAATAGGAGAAACTGACAATTATTTCGGTTGCTCTTACGTCTATATTATATGTATAATCCATCTTACAAATGGTTTATAAATATATCATTCCTCTATTATCATTTACATACTCAATGACTAATACGCAATGACATTGTCTATAAAGTCTAAAAAAATCTTTTTAAACTATGTTTCTTTCTGTATCTGCTTCAAAAAATATTTAGTCTGTATTATTTGTTCAGTTTCGTAAATTTAATAGCTGTTTAATTGCTGTTTGATGATTTTTATATCTTCTAATATTTTCATTTATAACTAGTAAAATATACGTCGTTTGTGTAATAGTACACATGATTTACCGTAGGATGTCAAGACTGAAAAAGATGAAGAATACTGTCGAAAAATCAATGAAGTTCTTAATAATCCGCCTGCACCAGGTTCACAGAGAAGCAGTGGAGCTAATCCTGAAGGAGATATCCAAAATTTACTGAGTAATATGTCGCAACAACAGCTGATGCAGCTATTTGGTGTAGGACAAATAGGAAGTCTTGGAAATTTATTGGGAAATATAAATAGACCTTTCAGTGGCAACAGAATTTCTACACCAACATCTTTGAATCCTGTAACAACAAGTGCCAGGTCTGCAGCCTCTCTCATTTCCAGTCCTGTTACAACGGAAGCGCCAACACAAAAATCTACAGGTAATAAATTACGAATAAAATTTAAAAAATTTATTAGTATTGACCTTTTTATCTTCATAGGAAATAACATATCTCATTCAACACGGACTGATACTTCTCTGTCATCATCGAATGATGATACACGGATTCGCTTAACTGATTTACAAAATTTTCTCTCTGGAATTACACCACATTGTTCAGAACAATCTTTTCAGGTATGGCCAATAAAATACATTTATTATTTGATATTAAATTACATTTTAACCGTTATTTTTTGTATTTTATCACGTCCACTTTAATGCCAATGAATAGATATATATTGCCTTACGTATATTCAAGAAGTTGTAAATTTACAAATATTTTTTGCAATATTTTCTTTCCGTTCGTCTAGATTCTTACATTATAAGGTTCTTCGTGTTAAGAAAGAATAATATTTCGTTTACATTTTTTTTAACGTACGATTGAAGGAATCAAATATATGCAAAGCGCAAATAAGAAAGAGAAAACCTCTATAATTAATAAACTAAAAAAATTAGATTGAAAATTTCATGATATCTTGGTAATTATTAGTCCTGAATAATAGCAATTTTTTATATAAATAAGTATAGAGTGGTGGACTATTTCCTATTGTTATGAGTTAAGTGTTGAAATTCTAGTTGTGGAATATTGTAGTGAAGAAAATCTTTACTTGAACTATATGTGAATATATGAGTAATAGATACTTAATAAAGTTTGTTTTAAGTCATTTCAAACTAATACAGATAATCAAAATTATCACAACAAAACCATCAATTTTTATCGTAATGAAGCCATTTTTTGATTTTGTAGGTGCTTATTTTTGTTACGAGGGGGGTCAATAAGTCTTTATAAAATCCAAGAGAAGGCACTCGTCACGCTAAAAATAAGATGTTTTTGGCAAGCAATACTACTAACTAGATATCGTACAAAGTTTCAGATCGATTCATTTAGTCGTTTTTTTGTGAGCGTTAGTTGAACAAAAAGTTATTGGTTTATTTGAATAATGGAAAAAACAGAGTTTCGAACGGTGATAAAATATTTCATTTGAAAGGCCTTACACCGAATGAAATCACAGTTGAGTTGAACGCCGTTCATGGCAAGTCTGCCCCTGCGTTTAAAACTGTTTATAACTAGGTAAATGAATTTAAACGCGGCCGTACAACAACAAAAGATGAACCTCGTTTAGGACGCCCTGTAGAAGTGAGTACGCCCGAAATGGTCAACAAAATCTACGATATGGTGTTGAGTGATAGAAGATTAAAATTGCGAGAACTAGTTGAGGCCACAGGGGTATCAAAGGGTACAATCATTTCAATTTTGCATGAAAAATTGGGGATGAAAAAAATATCAGCAAGATGGGTGCCACGTTTGCTCACTGTTGAAAACAAACGAACCCGCGTGGTCACCTCTGAGGCTCTTTTGGCGTAATCGGGAAGACTTTTGGCGTCGACTCGTAACTGTAGATGAAACATGGGTACACCACTATACTCCTGAAACCAAAGAACAGTCCAAACAAAGGATTACCGCAGGAGAACCAGCCCCAAAGGAGGCAAAGACAGTAAAGTCAACTGCCAAGATTATGGCCACTGTTTTCTGGGATGCGTATGGAATCATCTACATCGACTACTTGGAAAAGGGCCAGACGATCACTGAACAATATTATGCATCATTATTAGGTTAGCTGAAAGAAAAAATCAGAGAAAAATGTCCTCACTTGAACAAGAAAAAAATGCCTCTTTCTTAAAGTCAATGCTCGAGTGCACTCGTGCAGTTTCGATGGCAAAAATTAACGATTCAAAGTTCGAATTAATTGACCATTCACCATATTCGCCTGATTTGGCACCCAGTGACTTTTTCTTATTTTCTAACCTCAAAAAATGGCTTGCCTGACAACGATTCACGTCGGATGAAGAAGTCATCGCCGAAACTAATGCCTATTTTGATGGTTTTCAGAAATCCTATTTTTCTGATGGTTTAAAAAAACTGGAAGGCCGTTTGATAAAATGTATCGACCTTCAAGGAGATTATGTTGAAAAATAAAAAAAAATTACATACGCAAAACTTTTTTTTCCTTCTTTTTGTAAAGACTTATTGGCCCCCCCTCGTATGAGAAAAAAATTTGATCCAATTTGATGCATATTGATACCCCTTGTTGCTTTCTATAGAATCTCAAACATTCTTTTTATTCAAGAAATGTGATCGTATAACTTACTACCTGGAATTCTCCGTTTTTTTTTTCTTTTTGAAAATGCTACATAAACCAAGATATAGTGCACTTTTCAACAAGAAATGAAAAAATGTAGTATGTCCTATTTTTTTTTGAATATTTATATATTTTTTGGAATTATTCTTGTATTTTTTAACGAATATCGATAAAGTAAAATTCCGGAGATTTACTATCAGCAAGGATCGAATTCATCATCATTTTTATTATGCAGACTCAATACTGATAAAAAAATACTGTAAATCATAGGATATTATCATTAATTTTGCACTTTTTCAATTTTAGAGTGGATCAGAAAGCATAAATCTCTCAACTATATAACTCCCATACAAAAAAATCGTAGGCGTCTGTATAGAGTAAGATTTATAAACAAAGAAAAATTCTTGAGAAAAGGTTTAAGTTTCTTGTATCTTCTTTTTCATTGCAAAGAAATACAAGCGACGTTGTTTGTAATGGTAATAAATCACTGTTGAGAGCGAAGATCGGCACTCTCAACTTCCTCAAAACAAGTTTTTTTTTAATGATTCAAATCTAACTATCGAGCTGTTAGAGTTGTCGAATCTATGCCATTTCACATAGTTTTGATTTCTTTGCCTCTTGAGCTTTTTTCGAACTTTGTACACATCCAGATACATGGTCTTTTACAGTTCTTTTTCGTAAAACCTGCCAACGATAGACTTACGAGGTCTTTCCGGAAAGTATCGGGCCTACCTTTATATTTTCGTGCTAGCGTTATTCTTTATCATCTGGTGGGTGGCATCCTTCAAAGTAATCCACACTTGATTAAATAACACGGTTCCATCGATGTTTCCACTTTTCGAAACAGTCCTGGAACTCACTTTTAGGGATAGCCTTAAGTACACTCGTCGCATTGTTTTCAACCGTTGTTTTGTCATCGAATCGGTGTCCTTTGAGTGGTTTTTTTAGTTTAGGAAATAGCCAAAAGTCACAAGGGGCTACGTAGGTCGGGACTGTATGGAGGTTGTCGAAGCAATGCGATACTGTGTTTGCTCAAAAATTGCTCAAAAGTCTTGGCGATTCAGAATACTTCCACCGTTAACATTGTTGTTTTGTTTCAGGATCATAACCATCAACCCATGATTCATCACCTGTAATAACTTTTCTAAGCACATTATCATCATTATTGACCATTTCCAGATTGTCCAGAGCGATTTCTAAGCGAATGTTCTTCTGCTCTGCTGTGAGCAATTTTGGGATGAATTTCGTACACACGCGTTTAATTCCTAAATTTTCGGTTAAAATTTCTGAAATGATAGTTTTTGGTATCCCAAGGTCTTCTTCTAGTTCTTGCACAGTCATACGACGATCTTGTTCGATTGCAAGTCGCACCCGCTCCATATTATCTGCGGTTTTTGTCGTCGAAAGTCGGCCGGAACGAGAATCACTATCGACAGAAGTGCGACAATCCTTGAACCGTATATACCACTCTTTTATTCGTGTTTTGCTCATACACTCGCTTCCGAAGGCCTTTTGCATCATTTCAATAGTTTCCGAACTCGTTTTTCCGAGTTGAAAGCAAAATTTGATGCGAATTCGTTGATCTTGTTTTTCAGTCATTTTTGACAATATCAAAATCCGACGAACGCGAACAAGGCACTGTAAACAAAGACACGCTGCGCATGAACTATACGTCCGGCTGGTGTCAGTAAGTAACCAATAGATTCGTCAGGCTTTACTGTTGACGTTTCTGTCCGGTAGAGGTCGCTTGAACACTATGGCGCGAAGATATAAACGTAGGCCCGATAATTTCCTGACAGACCTCGTATATCGATAATCGTGCAGATGGTAAGTTACCGGCTTGATTTTGATAATTCGATCAATAGTGGAGATCTCAGTAGACTAATTAGGTAAGTACTTTTTTCCAATACATTTGTTGACTTAATTACACGAATTTCATTGCCATATTTGAATTTGGCTATACTGAACTGCCGTTTATCACATTCAAATACTCTATATACTTCGATTTCATTGTTAGCAGTGACATCTACTGGGTTTATTTCTATCATCTCATGATTTCTATTATTTTAAGCTTCTAGCAAGTCGGATAATACGGGGGAGGGGGTTAATAAGTCTTTACAAAAAGAAGAAAAAAAAAGTTTTGCGTGTGTAATTTTTTTTTAATATTCAACTGCAACGGTAGTCGATTCAATTAATCGAACCGTTCGCGATTCTGAATTTCGCGCGTTAGTTCTAAGTAGTGAGAGAGAGAGGGGGCGCGCGATCTTTCAAATTAGCAGTTACGTCTCAGCTGTTGTGACAAGTAGATATCGCCGAAGTTATTTGCACTGTTTTTTCTCGCCGACTAATAGTTTCTTGTCCATAATAATTACGCGCGTGAGTGCAACAACGAGACCTACGGATTGCAGCGTTTTGGTAGCAGCAGATTTGCAGCTGATAGGTGGTACGAGGCAGCACAGCTGATAACCTAGGACCGGAGGCAGTTGATATTTTGCTGACATCAACAATTACGGCTGATCACCGTAATTGCACCGCAGGGTAGGTGCACCTCCCTTTACTATCGCCTGTCTAAATATATATATTATTTTGTTCAGCCGCGTTAGCGTTGATAATTTTGTATTCGCGCCGAGCGTTAGATCGCGCCAATTTTCGTATCTTCTCTCTCTCTCTCTTTCTCACCGAAAGTTATTTAATTGTAAATCCTGTTCGCGTGCGTCAGTCTTTCGGCCCGATAAAGACTGTAGAGATTTTTATTAATAAAATCTATTAAAATTATTCGCAGATTTCGTCATATAATTTTTCCTAATAGATTAAACAATTGAAATAGGCTTAAGTTTTAATCTGATCATAGCTAGGGGATTAAGTGGATTAGGAGCAAAGTCGATTACACTTAAAACTCATCGTGTGTCACAGGGCACGTGACTTAAGGTGAGTTCAACTCCGCTTGATCGAAGACAACCAAGTTAAGTCAGCTGACGTTAAGGCGAATACACG